CTCAACCCCCAAACTACTAGAACTCATACAACAATTCAGCAACAGGATACAAAGTCAATGTACAGAAATCAGTTGCTTTCTTATACACTAACAATGAAAACACAGAAAGGGAAATTAGAGAATCGATTCCATTTACTATAGCACCAAGAACCATAAGATACCTGGGAATAAACCTAACTGAAGAGGTAAAGGAACTGTACTCAAGGAACTACAGAACACTCGTAAAAGAAATTGAAGAAGACACAAAAATATGGAAGACCATTCCATGTTCTTGGATCTGAAGAATAAACATTGCTAAGATGTCTATACTGCCTAGAGCAATCTATACGTTTAATGCCATTCCAATCAAAATCCCACTGGTATTTTTCAAAGAGCTGGAGCAAATAATCCTAAAATTTGTATGGAATCAGAAGAGACCCCGAATTGCTAAGGAAATGTTGAAAAAGAAAAACAAAACCGGCGGCATCACTACCATTTCAAGCTTTACTACAAAGCTGTGATCACCAAGACAACATGGTACTGCCATAAAGACAGACACATAGACCAGTGGAACAGAGCAGAGAGGCCATTTATGGACCCTCATCTCTATGTTCAAATAATCTTCGACAAAGCAGGAAAAAAAATATCCAGTGGAAAAAAGACAGTCTCTTCAATAAATGGTGCTGGGAAAAAGGGACAGCTATATGTAGAAGAGTGAAACTCAACCATTATCTTACGCCATACACAAAGTAAACTCAAAATGGATAAAAGACTTCAACGTGAGACAGGAATCCACCATAATCCTAGAGGAGAACATAGGCAGTAACCTCTTTGATATCAGCCACAGCAACTTCTTTCAAGATATGTCTCCAAAGGCAAAGGAAACAAAATCAAAAATGAACTTTGGGGACTTCTTCAAGGTCAAAAGCTTCTGCACAGCAAAGGAAACACTCAACAAAACAAAGAGGCAACCCACGGAATAGGAGACGATAATTGCACCTGACAGTACAGACAAAAGGCTGATATCCAGGATCTATAAAGTACTTCTCAAACTCAACACACACAAAACAGATAATCATGTCAAGAAATGGACAGAAGACATGAACAGACACTTCTCCAATAAAGACATACAAATGGCTATCAGACACATGAAAAAATGTTCATCATCACTAGCCATCAGGGAGATTCAAATCAAAACTACATTGAGATACCACCTTACACCACTTAGAATGGCCAAAATTAGCAAGACAGGAAACAGCGTGTGTTGGAGAGGATGTGGAGAAAGGGGAACCGTCTTACACTGCTGGTGCGAATGCAAGTTGGTGCAGCCAATTTGGAGAACAGTGTGGAGATTCCTCAAGAAATTAAAAATAGAGCTTCCCTATGACCCTGCAATTGCACTACTGGGTATTTACCCCAAAGATACAGATGTAGTGAAAAGAAGGGACATCTGTACCCCAATGTTTATAGCAGCAATGGCCACGGTCGCCAAACTGTGGAAAGAACCAAGATGCCCTTCAACGGATGAATGGATAAGGAAGATGTGATCCATATACACTATGGAGTATTATACCTCCATCAGAAAGGATGAATACCCAACTTTTGTATCAACATGGATGGGACTGGAAGAGATTATGCTGAGTGAAATAAGTCAAGCAGAGAGAGTCAATTATCATATGGTTTCACTTATTTGTGGAGCATAAGAAATAACACAGAGGATATGTGGAGATGGAGAGGAGAAGGGAGTTGAGGGAAATTGGTGGGGGAGATGAACCATGAGAGACTATGGACTCTGAAAAACAATCTGAGGGTTTTGAAGGGGAGGAGGGTGGGAGGTTTGGTGAGCCTGGTGGTGGGTATTATGGAGGGCACGTAGTGCATGGAGCACTGGTTGTGGTGCATAAACAATGAATTCTGTTACACTGGAAAGAAATTAAATTTAAAAAAAGGAGAAGTAGGGATGGCAGAGGTGGGCACAGTGGGGAGGCAGAGATAGGCATTGTGGTGGCCCCTGGAGCCTTCTCTGTCTGAATGCTGTCCTAGAGAGGCCCAGGACCTCATGCTCTGAGGAGAGAAGACACTTCCTGCCTCCATGATGTCAGAGGAAAGGGATTATGATGAAGGAATGACCATGGGACTTTTATCACTTTTTTTTTCAGATTACCAAATGGACACGCAAGGGGGCCACAAGCTGAGATGTTACTGGGCCAGTTGCTTGGATTTCCAGAGATTATGGAATCCACAAGCATGTGCTCATTCCTGATCCTCATCCCATCCCAGTCTCACCAGGCTGCACTCCTGCTGACGTAGAGGCTCAAAGACATGGTGTGGAATGAGGTTAGAGTTTTGGAGATGGTGATGATTTTTGTCGTAGAGGATGGAAGGGGCTTCATCCCCATGTTGATTTGACACTGGATGTGGCAAGGTCCCAGGCTTGACCTTGGGCATGGGGGATTTCCTCACCTGAGGCCATCTCAAAGAGGGCTGACAGCTGAGGGCCATCTCCTCAGGCCTGGTGTATCACAGGATGCACCACCATCTGCAGAGCCCTATCCACCTCAATTGCTTGGGCACAGGACATGGATTAACTTCATCCACCACTGAGGTCTTAAAGCTACCCTACCTCAAGCACCCAGAGTTCTCTGACTCCACCTGATCTAACCTGGGCTTCACTAATTGGAAATATATAGAGTGAATATCATGGGAGACTGAGAAGCAGGTTGTTCTGGAATCTCTGAGTGCCAGGCATTGGAGTGAGCTGTAGCAAGGACAGAGGACAGAGAAAGGAAGAAGAACCTTAGACCTATGAAGTAACATAAAATCTGGGTATAGAAACGCAGATATCTCCCCACCACACATTTCCTCGAATTGCCCTCCAAGGGGGTGCAAGAGACAGAGATCCAGTTGAGGACAAGATGTTGACATTTTTTTTAGAATAAGGTTACATTTTTGGAACAGTTTTACATTTAGAGAAAAACTGAGACAATCACACAGAGTTCCAATATATAGGTGCATACAGTTTCCCCTCCTTAATAGCATTTTACAGTAATTAATTGCATCTGTTATAATTAGTGAACCAATATTGGGGCATTGTTATTAACCAAAATCCATAGTTTGATCTTGTCTTAGCTTCAACCGTTATAAAACAGCGTGAGCTGGATGCCTTGAAACAACAGGAACTTATTTGTCGTAGTCCTAGAGGCTGGAAGTCTGAGATCAGGGTGCCATGATAGTTGGGTTGTTATGATATCTCTCTTTGAAGTTGCAGACTGTCAACTACTTGTATTTTCACCTGGTGGATGGAGTGAGGTGGCTGTCTGGTCCCTTTTCATGAAGGCAATAATCCCACTCATGAGGACTCCACCTTCATGACCTTATTATCTGCAAAGTCCCCACCTCCAAATCCATGAGCGTTGGAGAGGTACAAGTATTCAGTCCAGAAGAGATTTCCTTAGTTTTCACTCTATGTCCCTTTCTGTCCCGGAATTCCATGCAGGATACCACATTACATTTTCTTGTCATGTCTCTCTAGGCTCCTCTCAGCTGTGAGAGCTTCTTGGACTGGTATATGGTGGAATGTCCCTCATTGCAATTTGTCGGATGCTTTTCTCATACACAGACTGGGGCAGTGGTTTGGGGAGGAAGTTCACAGACAAAAAGTGTTGTTTTCATCACATTATACCAGGGAACATACTGTGGCCATGGTTCATGACTATTGGTGAACTCATGATCACATGGCTGGACTGTATTTCTCAGGTGTTCCCTCTGTAGTTTAATTAGGTTATGAGCTGTGGGAACACAGAGTGAGACAAAGGAACTGATATTTTATACAGGGTGGTTTATGGAAGGGACTTTTTAATAAGGTGATGTTTAAACAGAAATTAAAAGAGGGAGAGAGTGTCATGCAGATCTTTAGGGGGAAGAAGCAGAGGAAAGACACAGTTTGACCCCATTGCCATGGAATCACTGTAGCTGAAGCTGGAGAGCTGTAAGAGGCAAAGAATGGTCCAGGAAGGAGTGCTGGTGACCAGGACCAGGGAGCAGGCTTGGGGTAAGCAGTGTACAGATTCTGGGTGGAGCTCACTGATTTTGGGAGGAGGCTTGCATTCACACCTGAGAGCTTCTCAGGAATTTTATAAGCCAGTTGTTAAACACTGTTAGCTTGCCATTGGTCACATTGGGAGTGTTGACACCACGGAAGTCCACAAGTACTACAAATCAGGATTCTTTTCCTTTCCCTGAGTAGACTGCTTCACATTTACCATCTGGCCACTGCAAACAGCATTCTGAAGGCAGAATTGAATAGGGGATATAAAGTAAGAAAACCAAGGATGGCTCCAGACTTCTGGACTGCCAACTCATGTACATGAGCAGTGGGACTGGGAAGAAAGAAGGTGACACAAGAGCTAGTATTCCCATCACAGGGGGAGGGCATCTTGTCCCTGGGACTGAGGAGTAGGACATGTAGGCAAAGAGGAAGGAGAATCATTTCTCTTCTTCAAACCAGGATGAGATTCATTTTATTTAAGACCCAGTGAAGAACCTCACTAAGCCTAGAATGTCTGGGGGTTGGCAGAAATAACTCTAAGAACATGGATGTGAGCATGTAGTCCATGGCCACAGTCCCCAGATGATGAATGAGAGACACCTGGTATGTGTAGGTGGGACTCTTTTCTCATATTCAGGCAGATATCTGTGCATCAGTGCCTAGAGCAAGTTCCCATGGCCCCTCTGAGGACCTGGTATGAAGACCCAGCTCTGCGGGCATCAAGGATTGTGAGAAAGAGCAGAAGGGACTGTGGGTAGGTGAGTCTCTGGAAGAAGCAAGGTATGTGGGGCAGAGTTGGGAAGCTTGTAGTTGTTCCTTGTCTTTGGCTGTGCCCCTCAAGGACTGAAGGAGCAGAAACTGAGGGTGACATGTAGTAGGACAGGAAGGGAGGAGCTGTGGGACCCATGTTCACAGTTGATTATGGGCACAACATTCAAGAAATGTTCCCAATGTATCTCTTATGTCCTTGGTGCTATTTTCCTCCTGGGACACCTATTGTGAAAGGACAGGCAGCCCCTGATAGAGGACTCTGCCACTTAAGCCTTTCTCCCTTAGGGCTTGGTCCCCTCTCTCCATCCCCTCCAGTATGTCCCACGAGGATCAGATTGGAAAAAGTCCTCAGAGCAGCCCTCTGGTACATGTCAGCATTCTTCTAAATGTAGACGTCTTGTGCCCAAAGGAGCCCCAGTCCTCCTTTATCTAGTGATGCTCTCCAAGTGATCCTCCCACCCAGCTGCCTGTCGTTCAGCCTCTCTGCCCACTTCCTTCCCAGAATCCCTAGGACTCTGTCCACACTCTTTGACAGCCTTTGACCCTGCCCACATTTTATAGGCTAAATGCCGCCTCCCCCAACACCTCAGGGAGCCTGGACCCCTGAGACTCCCGAGGGTACCAAGGGAGGCGTGTCACATGCTCTTTACGGCAGGTGGGCGCTGACCCTGTGTGACCTGTGGGCTTCCCCTCTTCCTGACGTGGCTCTTTCTGGGACTAACTGTGCCTGCCCTCTCTGACCCATAACTTACAATTGGGTGCTCGCTTCCTGTGGACATACATGGCAGAGACAGTGATGAGCAGCAATAGCTTCGGGCCCAGGGTGACAGCCATCAAGAATGGAGTAGATGGCCTTGACTCTGGAAAAGAAGGGATAGGAGGCATCATCAGAGGGGGGCACCCTGGAGTCCATTCCCTGGGTCCTCCACTTACTCTATCTGAAGTGACTCAGGCTTATCAACGCTCTGAAGCTCATGAATTCTTCCCCTGCTCAAGGCAGAATTCGGGTAAGATGTTCCTCACCTCACTCACCCCTTTCTCACTGCCAGGTGTCCTTATTGAGGGAAGAGGTGAGGAGAACGAGCACTCAGGAATGGGTAAGTTTGGTTTACTGAATTGGTTCTCACACCCAGTGGAGCAGGTCCTACAGCCTCTGTCTGATGAGCCAGCAGGCTCCTAGTTTACAGAGGGTGGACAGATGAGGTGGCTTAGACCCAGGGAAACCCCTCACTGCTGGCCTGCAGGATGACTCTGAGACTTTGTCTTTGGACCAGGACAGAGCCAGACTCTCTGGGCCATAGGGACAAATGTCTGCCTGGCCTCAAGAAGTGAAAACAGATATCACGGTCATTGAGGGGCAAGGCTGCCCTGCTTTGCTCTACGCACATGGTTTGACGACTTCCATGTACAGAGGTGAGGAGAGAGTACTCAGGATGACCTGACCTCAGGAGACCTGCTGGCTGGACAAATAGTGGGGAAGCAAGGAAATGGGGTCTAATGCTAAGGAGAGTTTCAAACACCATCAGGCCACCTGAACCCCATTGCCACTGTCGGCTGACGTCTGTCTCTTGGACATAGACTGTTGATCTGGAAGGACAGCTTCCGATTTTTTGACTTTATACAATGACTCATTTTTGTTTTTATATTTGAATTTTAAAAATCCAATTTTTTTTGAAATATAGAGTAATCTTAAAGGAAGGAGTAGGTCCTCAGCATATTTGCCCTGGCATGTTAGAGGATGTCAGGTCTCTGCTTTGGGGCTGCTGGACTTTTTCTGAGTTGAAAGAAATTGGCCATGTTTGTACCTGTTTCTAGAGGGGAGCCAGCAATAGAAGGCTTGAGGAACTGGGGGTACAGAGGCTAAACCATTCCTCTCCATTTAAAACAACTCACAAAGAACAGGCAGCTTGCTTCCTCTCTGTCTGAGGCTGAGTCTTGTCGTGCTGAATTGTGTCAATATCTCCCTTTGCCAGTCCTACTTCCTTCACTCTCTCACGCAGGTGAATCGGGCAGCACCCCACAGTTAGCTTTCTCTCTTCCCATATCATCTGAGAGTCCCCTTCCTGGGTCACCTGATGTGTGGAGTTTATCTGGTTGGGGTCTGGAAAGCCAACTCTGATGGGCCCATTTGGACTGGGGTCTCTTTCTGCCAGCTGGTCATGAGGCCCCCAGCCCTGTGGGAGGTAGAACAGGATAGGTGTCGGCTTGCCCTGCCCTTGTCACTGCTGAAACCTCACCACGGTGACCTGGGCTGGTGTAAGCAGAGGAGGGGAGTATCCTGGCATTCTTATGACGTGATGATTTAAGAACTAGGGATTGGGTGGCTGTTGCAGGGCATTAACCTTCGGATAAAGACAGTGCAATGCGAAGACTGATCACATGTGAAAGGTTATGTGTGAATGTCAGGGGACTTCGCAACAGTGCAGACTCTTACCTCCTAGAGCTGGAGGGCAGAAAAAGCTGAGAACACAGTTGGGTCCAACATAAACATAAGAGTATCAGTGCTACAGAGAGGACTGACTTCTCAGCTACACTGCACCTACTGTGCTGGAGTAGGGCCCTGATGGGGAAATATGGGAGATGGATACCGAGATGTGGGATAGGGTCACTGGGGCCAAGCATTTCAAAGCCCTCTGGGCACTTTGTAATGGGCTGCTGAGTACAAGACAGAGGCTTAACTACTCATCTCCAAATACAGCCTCTCAACCCAAAGGAAAAAACAACAAAAGGACAGTAAATTCTATGGAAAACTGGCTCTTAGTAGTCCTTGAAGAGCAATGCCCAAACTGCAGAATCTCTGGAGACAAAAGAGAAAACTCTCCACGTCCAAATGCACATCCCCTTATGCCATTCCCCTCCCACCTTCACCAAGCACAGGAAAGGGCAGGAGATGGTGCGGACTCATCTCTCCCGCCTCTTTGGCTCAGTACAAGCCTGCCCCCTGGAACTCATGCGAGGTCCACGCATGGAGGGCTCTGAAAAGTGGAAAAGGAAGGCAACTGGGCTAGTTGCTTCCATTCTGGAAGAGGAACCCACACCAGATATCCTGGGTCCACACTCCCAATGTCCCAAGCCCAGAAGAGGGCCAGCTGTGGTATTCGAACAAAGAAAAGTCTAGACTTGATAATGTTTTTCCCATTTCAAAAAAAAAATGAGGAGGAGCAAAATAAGCCCAAAGCAAGAGAAGGAAATTAAAAAAAGTGGAGAAAAAGCAAAGAAATTAACAACAAACAATAGAGAATATCACTGAAATGAACACGGGTTCTTTGAGAAGACTGATAAATTTGAAAAACTTCCATCTGTTGTGATAATGAAAAAAAATGAGAATTGACCCATTTCCAATATCAGGGATGAAATGGGATACCCAACAGACACCACAAGGATTACTAGGTAATATTATGAGAAGCTCTATGTGCAGAAATTGGAAAACTCAGAGAAAAAGACTGAATTTCTCAAAAGCTCACCTACCTCAAGCATCCAATATGAAATGAAGAATTTGAGTAGCCCTAGCTATTCAGATTCTATTCAGAGCAACAAAAGAATCATGGAGACCCAGATGTTTCATAGGAAAAATCTTTGAAGACTTTACAGGTTGAATTAAAACCAAGTTAGGTCCACAAAATAAAGTTAATAGAAGAAGCTTTGGAAAATTGGAATATATACTCCATTTTAGATGATACTAGGAATTATTGCTAATTTTACTAAGAGTGTAATAGTACTGGTTTTATAGAAAGAACCATGTCATTAGTCACATGACCACACAAGTGTGGACTCCATTTGGAGCTGGATGTGGATCCATGACTAAGTCATTAATGGACACAATTAAGCAACTTCTGCATACCTCTAGTTTTAAGGGAAATTGTTCCTTTTCCCCTTCCTATCTCTAGTCTCCTGGGCAGCAGTGACATGAACACTCGGAGGCCCAGTGTTGACCCAGGCAAGAGGAAAATGTCATTGGGCACGTTAGAAGGAACATGGGCCTCTGAAAGATCTTCTGGAACAAAGACTCCTTGAAAACTGGCTTGACCTCCCCCTGATGTTACATGAGAGAGAAACAAGGATTGTTTTAGTTGTAGAAAGGGGACTCTGTAGTTTTTGGGACAATGCTCCCCTGCTATATTTAATCCCTTTTTTTTTTTTTTTTTACAGGTTGCTGGTCCATCTTCACAGACTCAGGTTTCCCTGGAATAGCTTAGCTCCTCAGCCAGCTTAAGGGCAGGAAATATTCGCCATCTGTCCCTCATTGCTCCCTGAGTCCCTTCTGTAAAATTCCAGGTTACAGGGTTGGTTAAGCAGGAAAGGAGACCAGAAATGAATTGGAATTGGCATAAAGTGAATGTGCTTTGAGCGATCATGACTATGGCTGGTCTGCTGTCACAAATAAAGGGAGAGAAGAGACCCCACGTGTGAAAACACACAGTCACCCAGGAGCCTGGTCAAGAAGCAAAACTCCAGGTCTTCAGGGTCCCTTCTCGAATTTCAGAGTGGCAAGTGCAGACATTTTCCATGGTGATGGTGGAAAAGCGTAGAAGCAATAGAGACCATGCTAGGTGGGAAATAACAGCGGGAAGGGGGTGTCTGGACAGGCATGGTGACTTAATCATTGTCAGGTGAGGAAGCAGGGAGCAGGATGCAAGAATCCTTGCGCAGGATCATTGAGGCCTCACCCTGGGTATTATGGGTTTCCTGGTCCTTCTGGTGGGCAGAGGCCACAAGGGTATGGTTTCTGGTGACTGCGGGCTGCCCGTCGTGCTGCACCAGGCAGGTGAACACCACGTCTTCCCTGTGGGCAGATGAGTTCACCAGGAGCCAGCTCGTCCAGTTAAAGGTCCCATCCTTGTTCTCTAGGAGGTTCGAGGCCCTTGAGGCCTTTTCTGTTCGGGACACGTTGCCATTCTCTAGCCAGGTCAGCTGGAGGTGCTGGGGGTAGAACTTCTTCACTTGGCAAGTTACCTTCACCTGGTCCCCTGACAGGGGCTGCTGGGAAACCTCCAAGGTGGGCGGAACTGAAACAGCACAGGGCAGAAGCTCTCACATTATGGAACAGATGGACCATGGGGGAGGGGCTCAAGAAATTAGGTCCCCCCACACAGCAAGGGAGTCACCCAGAACAGGGCTAGGCATGCAGCTTGTGCACAAACACTGAGTCTTTGCATGTGAATGAGATCCCTAAGCACAGTGCCCAGCACACAGTAGGTGCTCAAGGTTTGATGGCTCCTCATAGGCTAAGAATGAGTGAAATCAAGATACTCAGCGCCATGCATACATTTGGAACAGAATAACTGTAGCAAAACAAATGACCTCACCAAGCACACAGTGGCATGGAGTACAGCAGGTGCTCAATAATTGGAGTTGCTACGGTAAAGTAAGGGAAACTATTGAGCACAGTGCTTGGTACATGGTAGGTGTTCACCCCGTATCGGCCATGGAAACAGTAGGAGGGGATGGCACATCTAGGTTCAGGTGACCTGGAGGGTCTGCCAGGGATCAGACTCCAGTGAATGGAGGGCCTGGGGCAGGGAGTGGGGGAGCGACAGGCTCAGAGACCTGGGGGCCAGACCTGAACTGGGGCTGGTGGGGAGGGGCATCTACCTCGGAGGACCTCAGACAGGTTGGCAGTCCCACGAAGAGGAGGGCCCCCCTGCAGGGTCACGTGGGTCACCTCGCAGATGACCTGGGAGCGGACATCCCCCAGGGCCAGCACCAGTCTGGTTGTGCTGGAGATGCTGTAGGATGTTCTCTTTCCCTCTGGGTCCACACTGGTCTGGGAGGCTGCCAGTTCATTCCCGTTTCTGAACCATCTCAGGGTGATGTTTCTGGGGGAGAAGCCGTGGGACTTGCAGGTGAAGTTCACTGTCTGACCCGGAGAGGCCCTGGCCATGGGGCCTGACACCATGGGAGGAGATGGTTTGGCTACAAGAGGAACATTTGTGAACAGTAATCATGACTGTGGTCCTCAGCACTCAGGATACATGTGAGGCACTGTGGAGAACCTGCTGCCCTTCTGATAGTGTTCGGAGGGCGTTGTCCTCTCCTACTCCCACAGAGGAAGCCCTGAGGTACCAGAGCTGAACTCTGAGTTGGGGGCAGGGCCCAAGTGCCGTTGTAGGACTGAGTTCAAGTCGCCCCTTCTCTTCTCTGCCAGGTGACTTCCCACCAATCTGGGCACAGGAAGGATGTTTCTGATGGATCTGACTGTTGGCATCAACCGTTCCTAGCTGCCTCCCTGCAAACCCTCCTGAGGCCAGAGAGGGTGTGCAGCAGTCTGTGCAAGGGACAGGTGACCCCCCCCCCAAGAAATTGGGAACCAGGCTGGCCAGCTGACCACAGGCATGGCCGTGGCACAGTGTGGCTCCTCTGTGACATGGGACAGGAGGCATTTCTCCTTCCTGGGGTTTTAGGGAGGAGTGAGTAAGGGAACGTAAGCAGTTTTGCTTGGAATTTATCACTGAATACACGGATAGAAATGAGCAGATGAATCAGAAATTGGCTGACAGTAACCTCAGTCTCATTATAGTGTTAGAATCCCCCTCTGAATATTCTTCTCCAGCCCTAATATCGAGCCTATTTGCCCCTGTTCCGCATTATGGCTTTGGAAATTATTCCCTGTGATCCCTTCCCTGTAAAACAAAGAGATTTGTCAGGGAACTTCCCCTGGGTGGTCTCTGTTTCTCCCTCACCGAGGAGCCAAGCTCCTTTGTTCCAGTTACAACAGGATTGCTCTTTACCAATCATGGCGTCCGAGGGGGACTTCCTGTGGCCTCCAGCAGTTTCATCCACAGCAGAGCAAATGTCCCACCTTCCAGCCTGACAGTGGCAGCCACCCTCCTTTTCCATCTGACTTTCTCACTGAAAACGGTTATGGGGAGGGGTCCCTCCGGGTGTCCAGACATGTTGACTCGACAACAACAGAGGGAAGATGTGGGGTCCAGACAACTGAGTCTAGAATGTGAATTCTCGCTCACGGAGCC